TTGAGATTGGAGATGATAGTCACACAAGTCTTGGCTGGAAGAGACTTTGCAGGACTTTAGTCCAGTTTTCTTCTTGAGTGAGGACTCTTGCAAGCAGTAGATCAGATCCATCATCAACATAAAACTTCTCTTTCACGTGAAAAAATGTGAAAATGCAGAGTCGTAAACTGTGTGTTTGGGAAAGCTGTGGCTCAAGGAGAGCAAACAAAACTTTTTTTTTCCCCCTGAGTTTCTTTGTTCTGTATCTTAGCTATCAGGGGTAAGTCTGGTATGTGGGGCATGGTTCTAGACTAGCTGGACTGGCTAGCGTATTCTAGACGTGCACGTTGGTGAACTGGGTGTGGGGAAGTTAATGTCAAGCTCGTTCCTGGCCTCCTGTGCACACTCACTTTGAGCCTTGAGCATCGCTGGTGCAGTGTAGCTGGCGTGGCATTACCTGCTGGTCTTTCCCAGATTACTGAGCCACAGTTTCTTCTCCTGACAGACACTGCCTACGCAAAGAACAAAGTGACTAACAAGTGGTACTACTTTGATGACAGCAGTGTGTCGGTGGCTTCGGAAGACCAAATAGTGGTGAGTATTTGGCCTGAGGCTAATCTGAGTTTGTGCTGAAAGTGTGGTTCCCTGCTTTGGGCATTATATTTCCAGACAAGCTGCGTGGATTGTTTCAGATGGCTTTCTTCTTTGTTTGTAGACAAAAGCTGCATATGTGCTGTTTTATCAGCGCCGAAACGGTGAGGAACATACTGCCCCATCTCTTCCCCAAGATGAGTGTGACGGCATGGATACCAACTAGACATCACCCCCAGCACTCGACTACCATGTTAGTGGTTGCTCTTCTAAAGCCATGCCTGAGGCGTCTGAAAATTTTTCTTCCTTCTGTAGGAGTCAAGCAGAAAATCTAGCACTGAGAGATTCAGTGCTGGGGGTTGCAGAATAGCACTGGAGAGCCAGGAGTAGGTGCTGATACTTGGGTATTTAGAGGCCAAAAATAATATATATTGGAGCTTCAATAAAGTTCTTTTTAAAATCTGGCTGAGCTGTGTGGCTAGAGACAGGGGTTGGGGCTGAGTGGGGCTGGGGCTGTGGGTCTTGGGCTGAGGGTTGTAGCTGGGGTCGGGAGAGAACAGCCTGAGCTGGAGGCTAGGTCACAGCTGAGCCTTGCAGGGGCCTGTGGAGTATGGTGGATATGATTCTGTGAATTGGTATGGGGGCTTCCTGCTGCCCCCCGGTGTTGCTGTTGGGCTCTGCCTGTGTCAGGGAGGCTTGCTTCACCTTTTCTGGAACCTCAGTTCAAATCTTTGTACATCTGGCCTGTCCGTTGCAGTCTCTGCCGTCATACTTTGGTCCCCTGGCTACGCAGCAAAGGTTTCTCTTTGTGTCCTTTCATTGATGCATTTGAGATTCTTCTGGCAGTTTTGGCTCAGCCTTTTTCATGTGTTCACTGAATCCTGTAATGTAGGAAACTTCACCAGAATGGCTCATACCTTCCTGCATGGCCAGCATACGGCGCAGGCTGATCTGCATAGCAATGGCAGGATACAGCTCTTCTGGCTCTGGCTCCCATCCTTCTGCAGAGAAAATATCATCCATGAGGTTGGCGCTTTCTTGTTCTCTCCATCCATCTCCTACACCCCTCACTTCCAGGCTGCTCTGTAAGCACTTTTCTGCCTCCACCATTTCTCTTATGGTTTGTGCAGCATTTTTATATTTTTTTTCTCGTTTTTATGGGTCCTTGGAGCTTTTTCTCCAGCTTTTTCTCCACTGTGTCCCCAGAGCTGTCACCTGTAAGGATGACAGCCCAATGCAATGGATTGTGTGAGTTCTTAGCCTTTTCTCTTTGGACTGCTCCTTCAGCCTTTCTCCTCCTCCCTCGAGCGCTGCCCTTTAGATCCCCCACTGCACCATCTTCTGCAAGGCTGCAGGTGTGATGGCCCTGTCCGAGGTCTCTCTTTGCCTTAGCTGCTCAATAGTTCTCCTCCATCCTTCCAGCGCAACTGGCAAACGCTCTTCGCTCTGTCCTCCTGTAGTGGCTGTGTTACTTGTAGGATCAAGTCCAGCATTCTTCTTGAATGAGGACTCCTGTGAGCACTGGATCTGGTCAGTCCTCAGTGGAGAAATGGTCTTCGTATGAAAAATGGGAAAAATCTAGAGCCTTAGTCTGTGTTTTTTAGGGAAATACCTAGTTCGAGGTGGCGAACCAAACAGGAGGGTTTTTCCTTCTTGAAGCAAAGTGCGTTGGCAGAACAAAAAGCTAAAAGAGGCTGCTGCTCAGCTTTTTTTCTTTCCCCCTGAAATTCATGCTTGCAGCTGCTCGGTCCTGTCTGTGCACAGTCCTTGTGGCTCCATCGCTGACCATAACCTCTTCTGATGAGCAGCGTACAGCGGTCATCCTTTTAACTCCAAGTACACCAGCTCAGCTGCCTTTCTGCAGCTCTGGACTACAATCCCCGTGGGAAATTGTTGTGTGCCCATCCCTGCACCTCTGCTGTGCTGCAGCCGAGCACAAGCCAGTTACTCGCTGTCTTCTGCTGCAGGCAGTGGGGAGGGAGGGCAGCACCCTGTGGCCCCGTAGCCAGGGCACTGCAAGGGGACAGAGAGGAGGAGGGCTGCCACTAGCTGGCACACTAGTGTTGGGGGCGCGGGGGGGACAGAGGGGAGGGGGGGGGGGGGGCCTGCCACTAGCTGGCACACTAGTGTTGTGATCCTCTTCTGCAGAATTTTGCTTTTAAAGCACTGAAGTTTGAATTTTGACATCAGAATGGCTTAATTGCTTCTGCTGTTCTGGTTTTGGGGTTGTTTGGGATTTTTACAACTCTTAATATTTTGTTTCTGTTTTTTTCCTCATGACTGAGGGGAGCATCCAAAAATCAATTTTTAAGCTGTAACACTGCACTGAATTACTCTGATCAGCATTTTGCCCCAAAAGAAAATCATGTGGGCATTCCAAAATGGGGAAGAGAGGAAAGGGAGGGGAGTAAAAGACCTTTTTAAAAAGAAAAATCAATCTGAAATAGCCTTTGTTCTCCTCCTTGCCTCCCCACCTGTGCTGACCCTGAGAAATGCATCAGTGGGGCCAAGTCTCCAGTGCTCAGATGCTGAACAGACACTCTTGTAGTGCAGAAAGTGTCTCAGCTCTTACTTTCTCTGCCCTTGAGCTGATGGGCTTTGGCTGTTGTGTGTGTGCTGTAATACCAGACCTGTTTTTCAGACTAGCACTTTGTAAGTGGCTGGCTCTGTTGTACGAAGAGGAAAATTAAAGAGTGGTTTGCACTGAAACTGGGTTTTGTTGTATTTTCAGCTTTTGTGATGTGACCCAAGACAGCTGTTTGTAGGGATGCCTGGTGCTCCAGGAGCTCTTGCAGCTGGGGAGGGCGAGTCGCCAGTGGGGATTTGGGAGAAAAGCAGCCCCTGCCTGCACTGCACATGCCCTGTATGCTGCCCTGGACTTCAAGCCCCAGTAAGGTTTGAAGTCTTCATGTTGCGATTACAGCGTAACAGTGGAGGAATTTATTTTCGCTGGAGCCTTAGAGAGGGTTAGAAGAGCCTTAGTGTAGAACAGCAGGTGGTGAGCTTCACTATGAAATGCTGACCTTCAAAGTGTGGTGTGAAACCCATCACGGGAAGAAGGGAAAGCAAAGTGGCAGCTTTTGGATGCAGAGGTGTTTGGGTATCCTGTGTCAGCGTGCAGGCTCGCAGGAATGGCTCATGCAAGAACGCTGAGGGCGTAAAGTGAAATTAAATTCCCCATTGCAAAAGGGAGGGGAAAATAACCTGAAACACTAACAGTGCTTCACTGACAACACAACTATTCACATTGAGGAGAGAAGTCTACAAGGCCGAGAATGTCTCCGAGCTAAGGCTCGTGTTCAGGGAGATGATTGCGGTAAGAACAGAGAACAGGCTGTGTCTCAGTCCTGGCTCAGCTCCTGCTTTGAAGAGGGTGTGCAATTTCACCCCGAAACAAAGGACTCAGAATAAAGAGGGGGGAAAGAAACAGCCAGAGTATGGCTTCTGTTTAAGAAGTATTTTCCCAGGTTAGGACTCTTCACCCTGGGAAAGGGAGATCTCCTGCAGAACAAGCCACGAACAGTTGCCCTCTCTTCTCTACTGTGCAAGATGGTCAGGCAGGAGGTTTAAAACAAGACAAGTATGTATTTTCCTCCCCTGGCACTGTAAGTAACTGAACGGGGAGTACAGGGAAAGGCCAGGCACCCTTGTCAGCCTGTACATCCTGCTGCGAGTGTGGCAGCCTGAGGTGCTCATAAATGGACTTGGGAAGGATCAAATTAATGCAGCAAGTCTGTGTGTTTGCTACCTCTGCACAGAAATGCCATCTCCGGTTCTCCGCTGTGCAAAGACCTCTGAGGAGCTGCTCTGCCCAGGAATGAAAGCAGCAAAGAGGGGGCCAGAAGGAGCCCGTGTGACCACCAGTGCATCCATCCACCAGCAGGTTGACCAGGGCAGAAGGTAGATGGGATTTTGCAGCACTGGGAGGCCTTGGTACAGGTATGGATATGAGGAAGGTGAGCTGCCTCATGCTCTGCTGAGGGCAAGTGTGAGTATCATCCTCCTACTTTTTTCTTCTGAGGAAGCTTTGAACCCCAATTAGTGTAACAGGAAAATATAGAGGAAGGACAACCACTGCTTTCAGAAATGGAATCCTCACACTGCTTCTAAAAGTGCATTAGATACTTTGTCGCCAAGTCACTCTTGAATTGCTAACATGACGACTGTTCACAAGCAAAGGAAAACTAGCTATGCATTTGTTTAACAGGATAAAAACACTCCTTGTACTTTTTCAGTCTCATGAAGCTTTAAGTTCCTTAACTCAAGCAAGCTTGCTCTGTGTACTAGAACTAGAAATTTTAGCATTTTTGTTGAGCATACCTTTGCCAGGGAGAGAAATGGAGCTCCATCTAGAAACACACACCAAGAGCCTTTGGCTCAAATACAACATACTTGGTCCTGGGGCTCAAATCAGAGTTAGGTAACTGCAGTTCTGAACATGGTGTTTTTTTCTTTTATTCTCAGCCTTGCTAAAATACATTATATAGTTTTAAGTAACATTTTTTTCTCAAATGACTTTTACAAGAAGAGACAAAAGCATATTCTCAAATTCAGAAGATGGAGGTCTGAAGTTCTTCCTTAAACATGCCTTCAAAATGGAGGTCTTTTGCCATGAGCTCTTCTTCTACATCTTCTAAGGCCCACTGATGATCAGTCAATTCTAAAGCTTCCCATTCTGTCTGCATTGATAATACAGAGAGAGAGAAAAGAAAGCAACATAGTATTAAAGTAGTTCAGAAGTAGGCAAAGCAGTGCTTACCTTAAACTGCAACAAAAACCAAGTTCTATTAAAAACCAGGCACTCCTGTCAACTCTCTGAAATCAGTGTTTTACACTTAATTGGGTATTAGATAGTTGGTCAATACAAGTACATCACAGAAATTAGAAAAATTACATTATCTGCTTTTTGAAAACCCTCTAACCTGGAATAGTCCCATTTCTTCTTAAACAAGCTGTTTCTAGCAACAGCCCATTCTGTTGTGGGGGCTCAAGTGCTTTGTGGTTGGTTAATGCTTTAGTTCAGAGACATTTGAAAAAAACAATTACAGTCTAAAAATTTCACAACTGATCCCAGGCTTGATGGGCCTCATTAGACTGTTCTCCAACCAACAAGCTGCCTGGAGCTGCAGAGTTTAATAATTCATTAAACCAGGTGTTCATAGCAGCCCAAGACCTAAGAACAGCAGTTCAGCAAATATGAGAACAATCTGCCCCACTACTCACTTCCCACTGTCTATGAGCACAAATCTCTCCTCCTCTCACTCCATTAAGTATTGCTCACAGTAAGTATTCTGGAATAAGCTGCATACAGCCTGCAAAATCATGTCATGCGATGCCCAGCATGAGATTTCTACACTTCTCCTGCACTATCTGCGTTCTGTCTTTGTTCCTGATGGTGACCATGTAGAGGGTTCAGGTCCCTACAGGGCTGAATGGCAAAACTGCTCTGGAGAGCCAGCACCAGGAAGTAAGCAGAGGGCCACAAGCCAGGAGAGCACATGGCACTTGTTGGAACTGCACCTCAGTGCTGACAGTTTGTGGCAGAACAGTCACTGCTCCAGCAGAGCTGCAAACTGTGGCCACCCTCTTCTCTGGCTGATGGGGGGTTTTTCACCCAGGAAGGTTACTGAATACAAGAAACTGCAGGAGCTGGCCACGCTGACTTCCCAGGTGACAGGCAGTCTGTGGGTAAATCTGTACTGCAGTGCAGAAACCAGGACCTTCCCCCTTCGTGCATTAACTAGTGTTGTGAAAGGCAGAGGCAGTCTAATAAGTGTCTACAGAGACTGCTCAGGAGAACTTCCAAGACATCATCAAATCCTGACAGATTTTCAGTTGAGCTAACTTGCTTACTTGATTTTCTTACCCAAGTTCTAGCATGTGTCTCTCGGACTTGTGCTCAATTAAAGTATTATATTATCACCACTTTTTGGGAGACAGCTTCTGCTCTAGTACTAGGTCTCAAAGGAAAAAAAAAATCTTCCTCTGCAAAAGCAGAAGATGGCATGTGAATTCAGCTTTTGGATCAGGAATAACTAATCAGGTTTCCTTCAGGGTACTGGAGCTCTGCCAGACCCAGGGCAACTTCCATACCCTTCATCAGCTGTCAGCTCTAATTTTAGGAACAGGATTCCAGAGCAATTCCCTTGCTTGACATAGGGAGGGGATGAGTTACATATAGGCTATAGTCCTGTAAGTTCACAGCAAACAGGAGTTGCAGGTGGGAATACTGTACCTTAAATGCTTTGTTAGTGTCCGCTGGCATGGCCATTGCTGCCCCCGTCATTTGTTCTTGCATCACCCTAGACTGATCTGCAGCTACAGAAGAGAAATGAGAGGGTGATTTTGATTTGCGTCATTTAAACAGCATTTCTTGGAGCACAGTGCCACCAGGCTGGTTTCTAGCTATAGACTAGAAAGTTGCAGAAACACCCAGAATGCAATACTTATGTGCCAGAAAGAGTTCTCGGAGGACATCTGGTTCCCACTCCTCACATCTTAGCTAAATTTACATAAAATATTCAGACAAATGGAGGAGAACATGGTCTTCTACATTCCCAATGAGCCCAGAAACACTATCTCTCCTGCTCCAGATCTATCATTAAGAAATCTTTGCAACTTTCCTTACAACCAATCCTTACTAGAAATACAAGCAAGCTTGAGAGCAAAAAATTTCTGCACCTGAATTTGTTGAGAAGGAAATAATTACCAAGGAAGTTTATGAGCAGTTAGCCAACAGCTGGTGCAGAAGATTTGGGTACTTGCTGCAGGCGCTGTCAAACCTGGCCAGTGGAGAGTAACCTCACAGAAGTGAGAGAGGCTTTTGAGAGCTTTTTGGCTGGAAATTTAGAAATCCTTCCCCAGTCTCCCTCAGAAGTCATCCCATGGAAGGAGAAGGCAGCTCTTTCACAGAAGTGACAGTATCTTACCATTATCTTGGCCCAGGATCAGAGTATAAATGCTTCTGAGTCCAAACACATTCAAGAAGTACCAGGAAGCAGAGCTCACCCTGATAAATGAGAATAAGCATGGCTGATTTCAGTTCAAAGCTGGCTTGTGATCTCATTTTTGAAGCAGGCGCAGACCATTCAAGGGTTATTAACACATTCAAAATTTTCCAAGTGAATATTCAACTTCGCTTGTTGAGGACACAGGCTTACCAGGATGCATCCAAAGTGAGCAGTTCAATTCCCTGCTGCAACATTGGTTTAAAACGCAGTGTCAGAGGAAATGGGACCTTTGCTGCAAGATTGAAAAAAAAAAAAAAAAAAAAAAAGCCCAGTTTTACAAAGTAACACTACATAACGGCAAAGCAAATGGCAAAGCAAGTAGATGATTCTTTTGTTAAATCTCATGTAGCCTGAATGCAATGCCTACAATAACAAGTTAATGTCTACTTTTGAAAAAGCTGTAGTTCTGTATTTATTTTAATATTAAAAGACTTTTTGAAACTTAATCAGATGGCCAAACAATCACAGAGATTGTTTCAGTGACTGTAAAGGGAAATGTCTTTTGTTATGGAAACAGTTATCACATAAATAGTAAGAAAAAAGCCAGAACTGTCAATTTAAGGAAGAATTTTTGATGTGTACACCCTGCATTACACAATAATCAACTCCCTGGACAGGGTCAGAGGAAAATCCACCACATCAACTTGAATTTTAGGCAGTTTTAATAAATTTAAATATTGTTTTTGTCACTACATTTTTTCCTGAATACATGAGCTATTTTCTTTGTGACCATGGCTGGTACTCTGAAAATAATTTTCCCTCCTTTGCTATAGGGCAAGCAAATCAACGCAGTTCATGGAGAGAAGAGCAGCAGTGCCATAAGCCAAATTCACGCTGCTTCCAACTGACTGCTTTCAGGTAGAGGAGCAAATCTCTGATGCTGCCCAGACCCTCGAAGTCATCATCAGAAATGCAGCCAGACCCATAGGCTGTGTTATTCCAGTCACTTACTTGTGACAAATCCTGAGAATGTCATGTTGATCCAACCACCGATGAGGATCATAGGCAGAACATTGGTTACATTCCCTTTCATCATGTCTGTCAACATGGTAGGATCTGCAATTCAAAGATTTGATGTAAAGTAGCAGTGCATCACAATAAGGGGAAACAAGAGATTACTTCACCAGTGTCAGTTGTTTTAATTAAGAAACTTAATGAGGGATAACAGTCATATCCCACTATCTATCTCTACCATCTATCCCCTATCTATTATTATCCACTGTTGTAAAATATTTTGTAAAATGAGATGAGCAGCCACTGTGGTGGTGGCTGCTGCTGCCCCCAAAAGGGTCCTGTGTTCTCTGCTGTGTCTGACCCCAGCTGCTCTGTCTGTCTTTGACCCCATCCCTTCAGCTTGCTGAACTTGCTTGACCCCTCTGCAAGCTGATTTAACTAGAAACAGGACAATGACCTATCCAGCTAGTTTGCTGCTGAGGTCTTTGGCCATATTAGTAAGCTAAAAAAGTTCAGAGAAGGTTCTGCAAGAGCTGGTGCAAAAAACGGACAAAAGGACCTGAATGAGAGCAGGACTTCCCATTTCTGGCACCACTGAGGTGGTTGTGGTCTTGTGAGATACTGCAGGAAGCTGGAGGCTAAAGTTAAGCAAAATGAAGTGACCCAACATGCTGCTACCAAAGAGGGATCTCACCCCCCCAATATGCAGCTGCACAGTCCTACCCCCTCCCTCCTGTTCACTGAGCTCTTTGTAAAGTTGATTCACCTTGCTACCTTGGCAGAAAATTATCGTTTTTCTGCCCAGCCATATTTATGGTACCTTAACATACCTGTCATTGGTGAAGGAGGCACTACCTTTCTTTTTGTTTTCTTAAAAAATCCATCCTCGGGGTTATTAAAAAAATATTTCCGCGTCAGGAAAGACTGAAAATAAAAAGAGCCAACACCAATTCATAAGAAATGAAAAGACAGAAGTGTTATTTCTTGCTCAGACATGCAGACTTCTTATGAGCTCTTTCATAACACATCCTTCTTTCTTGGAGAGGTACTTCATTGCCGATATGCTCTAAAGCTCCTCTCTTCTGTTTCCCCGGATCCAGAGTACCAGCTCTCTGGCTTTCTAAAATTCTTAAAATAATTCTAAGAATTCTCTGACAGAGAGTCCACATTGATTAAGCAGCTTTTAGTGCTTTGTGCAAAGTTCTTGCTGGCGCGGTACTGATACCAGTATATCTGGCATTTTCATTCCCTCGAGCTGACTTATGGGTTTCACAACATACATGTTTTTGGCAGCAGCTGAACCAATATGACCAACTGATTTTTAGTTCAGCAAACATTACAGATGACGTTGTATGACACCCTTGTGATCCTAAGCTCTTATTAATCCCCATGTGTTTCTTGGCAGATATTAAACAATGGTTTGGATGCAGACTTCATTTTAGTATACAATTAAAACACCAAGAAGCAGAAGCTAGTGTTGATGTTGGGGAAAAGACACGTACAGTGGTCCTGTGTCCGGGTTTCCTCCACATCTGCTCCCGGCTGCACTTCCAGGCTCTG